AAAAAAAAAAAAAAAAAAAAAAAAAAAAAAAAAGATGTCGCAAGGAACATCCAAACAGTCTTGAACTACCTTGCTGCTCACAGAAGTACCATACAAAATCCTGGCAACAAGGCCGGCCGATGGAATCCCAAATAGTAAATACAAATTAAATTTAATTAATACGACTTTTCTGGGTTAAGATATGCTCGCCAGTCTTTCGTTCTTTATTTATTTGGTGGTCCCACCCCATCCATAATCCATTCCTTTGGGTCCAATTCGCAGTTCCAAGTCCCAAGTTCCAAGTTCCAACTCAGATATTATGTCTCTTTGCCGTGCCCACCAGGGTGATAAGGGTTCGTCATGGTCTTCTTTTGTACACTAACCTTTTTTTTTTTTTTTTTTTTTTTTTTCAACTTGTAACGTCGCAATGGTGTTTATTTTTAGACTAACTTCACCCAAGTGGCAGAAGACAAGACACTCTATGCCGGACGATGTGGAACAGCAGCAGAGAAATTCCTAGCGCTGGTGAAAAGGTCAACCATGCAAAATTTGAAATTTCACAAAGGAGTGGCTGGTAGGTGGCAAGGTAGAAAGAGATATTAAAGGATTCCAAATTTCCCACCCACATGCGATGGAAAGACTGGCACAAATCAGAAACGCGGGCTTGAGAAGACAGACATGCCACCAGCATGTCTTGCAGCTGGACAAGTTCCATTACAGGCCACGTAAACTCCATGGCAAAGGCATTTGAAATTTGACTCTGTGAGTTCCGACATCGTGGTCTTAAAAAAAAAAAAAAAAAAAAAAAAAAAAACTTAACCAAGTGGATCTGACTTGTCGCAACAGCCAGTAGGTGGCAAGGCTACCATCTTCACCCGAATAAAGCACCCGGTCATTGTTGCTGCATCCGGTCTGAAAGGTGGCCCAAATACAGCCATAATGACCGGGCGGCGTTCTATTCGGGTGAAGACGGTAGTACCATTCTCAGGGCCACCATCGATAATCTCCCAATCATGTTGATCTGCAATTGCTGAATCAATGGGCAAGGACGTAAAATTGTAAATCAGCCTTTGATGTCATCTGTCAGTTTAGCGGTCCGGCTCTCTAGTAGGTCCTCTCTGGAAGCCCACTCTGGTCTAGATTGACTTCTCACTTGCTTGTACCTACTACCTACCTATAGGACTCCATTTTCCCCTCCTCCTTCAGACTGGTAGCCTTTTTAGATGATGCCATTGTCACCTGAATGCTATGCATTCTCACATGGATACAAGTTCAGCAAGACATGCAGCAAGGCCTCTCTTTTGGTGAGCTGGTGCCTAGTCGATGCTGGCCGGAGCCGGGGCGGGTCGCTTTGCCCTGTGGCCTAGGCTAGCAGGTGGGGGGTTTTCTGGGGTGAGTCGTGCCGCTCTGTAACCTAGCAGTTGGGGGCATGAGGCCTGGTAGAGATTGGCCATCCGGATACAGGGGTGAGGCAGGTATGTTGGGGCTGCTGACAGGCCCTAGGCAGCAGTTTTTTTTCGTTCAGAATGCTTCTTTGATCCGAGCCTTGGGGGACACAGAATTTTAGTGGTCTTGTGTAGATTTCACAGTTGTTTTTCGTAGCCAAAGCCGGGTAATGACCCCAGTATCTCAGGGATTTTTCCATGAATTTCTCATTTCAATATGTTCTTGTCACTTCTTGAATGGGACGCTTGCTGCTCCCCACAAATAGATTGGAGCATGTCCCTCGTAAAAAAAAAAAAAAAAAAAAAAAAAAAAA